TTTGCATATGAAGGACATCAAACATTTAACACAATCAACTCTCACCTTCTCCATGTAGCAGATACATATATAGCTATATATCCTATAGAAACACAGCTGGATTTGAAAATGCCTATGCTGCCAGAGTGAAGAAAGCATTCCAGAATTCTGAGATACTTTAGCTCCCTTTAAAAAAAAAGGTAAAAAAACAAAACTTCTCCACCTATTAGTTTAAAAAGAAAGGTCATCTTTGTATGGTAGAATTACCCTTCCAAATTTCAGAAACATTATTCAGAACTCCTATGCTACCATTTCAATATGACCAGTCTATTAAAAGCTAAGAAATCATGATGTAGTTGGTTTACTTCTCAGTAAAGTAGAATGGGAACTCAGTTTGATTTATTCTTCACAGCTATTTTTTTAATAGAGGTGACTCATTTTCAAACTATTGTAAATAAATCAGTTCCTCCATGACTCTATCCATGTTGAATGCCAGAATTCGTCAACATTAACTCTAGCTTTTTCTTCCCAAGCACTATTACTAAAGCTTGTGTGTAACAAGAGAATGCAAAAACTGATCATTTTTGAGACTAGCATTTTTCCCATAAAAGTAGCTTTAAGCCAAATTGTTTTAAAACAACTTTTTCCTAAAGTGCTGGACAGAAAATGTTATGGCCATTGTTGAAAGGATAAGAAAGATATGTGGAAATGCCTAAAACTAACTAAATCCTAGGAAAAGATTTTAATTGGATTTCTGGATGAAATACAGTGAAATGCTTGGAAATCATTCTGTTCCTATTTGAAGACAGTGCCATTATGCGTAAGCCAAGTTACTTATAATTTCTCCAACATCATAAAATGAAATTCATACTCCAAGGGTCAGAAATGAATAAAAATGCTAATTACACAAACATTTATAATGATTAGCTTTAGGGGATGTCACAGACAAATAGGGGCTTAAAACTTCAGGGACAGATTTCAATCTCTCTAGAAAAGGAGAGGAAATAGAATTATCACTTGGAGTAGATGCTCTTGTAACTGCAATGTCATAGTTTTTGAGTAGAGCTTTAACATCCTGTTTGTAGCTTGGATGTAAATTCAGATGCACAGACAGGGCATCAATATTAATTAACCCTGACATCCTCCCTTCTCTTAACTCCTGCATGTACTTTTCATCTAACTTCCTTATAGTTACTTTGTAATTTCAAGATTATCCCCTTTATTTTTATCATCATCCTTGTCCCTCCTTGTCATCATCAGAAGGAAGTTAGGGAAAGACTATTTCAAACAATTATAAATTTGAGTGATATAGTATAAAAATAATTTAAAGGGACCCTAGGACTCAGGCATTCCAAAAGGGCATTCTCTTCTTTCTTTACATGTCACTTTACAGGAGATATGAATTTGAAGATCTCTCCTTGAAGAAACATAACTTGTATATCCAGAACTATATGGAATAATGGGAGAAAAGGGGATCTCTACTGGTGTAAGGAGATACAAAATGGGGAATAATATAGTCCTGCTAGGTAAGAGAAAGGATATAGTTACTGGACACAAAAGTCTAAGGGCATTAAGCTCAGTCTCCATTTCCTAAGCTACACTCTATATACATTTTCCTAGGATTAGTGCCTGGTTTTAATATCCATTTGTATAAAAGTAATTTAAAGTACCATTTACATTCAAAGGGGACAGTTATGCAAACTTACAAATTATGTTATATACATATTCATAAATGTATTTAAGAAAATCTGGGACATAAATTTAAAGGAATTTATTTTCTGTTCTCTTAATGAATTATGGCTTGTTTCTGAATAAAGGGGTTAGGTTAGGGTTTAGAAGATCCTTATCTCTTTCCTAGCAGCAAGATTTTAAATAAAGTTATAAAGAAATAGTCTCCCTTCTTCAATATGAGATCTCCAAAGCCACATTCTAAATAAATTTATGCCTTTAAAAAAATCAAAATTATGCCTCAAATTATACCTTCTCTCGTTAGCTTAAGAAATTGCTTTCTCAACACATTCAGTGAAATGGCAATATTTCAGACTGCAGTCAAGAGGAAACCTTATTGGTTAGGTAATGAACACCATTCTTCCAGGCAATTGGGATGGAAACTTTGCTACAACTGTACTGTGCTGAGTAGGATCCTTGAGGTGGATGTAACAGGCAGAGAAGACCCAACAGTTGCTCCAGTGAAGTCAAGCAGACACAAGGGAGGAATCACTTAATGGATGCTGATCCAAAGAAAACAATGTCCTGACTAAACTCCTCCCCAACACTCTGGGCAGCAGGAGCTCGGGGTGAGGTACATTCAGGGAGCAAAAGCATTGTCTGCCTGTATGAAACTATACACCACAACTTAGAATTCCTGTAATGCAACATTTCTCAGTTATTTACTGTGCACTCAATGTAGCAGCTTTCCATAAAAAATGTAGAAAGCGGTTTTATCAAACTGAAAAAACAGATACAATGAGCATAAAGATGAATGGAACCATATCCTGAGTATTTAAAAAAACCCTGATGTGGAAAAAAGGATACGGGGAAAGAACTTCTAATGAGTGTCATAAATATGAGGACACAATTTGGAAATAGTGGGAAGTGGAAACACAAAGTGATTCTGGTTAAGTCAAAAGACTTCCATTGCAGGTTTAAACCTTACCTCAAAGGAGATTAAATGAATCTTGGAAGCACTTGTGTCCTAGGTATATAACAATTTGGTCTCTGTAGCAGCAAGAAAACTAAAATGCTTTTTATTAAATAATATTGTTCCTAGGTAATACTAAAATAAAGACAATTCACAATAAGGTTGTAGGTAAAAATTCTCATTATAAGAAAAAACAGTAAGTTGTGGATTAAATAAGCTAGAGGGCTTTTATTTCTATTTCTATATCACTAAGGTATAACCCATGACAATGATGATGACACCATTTAGCATTCATATAGCCTGTATATTTGCGAAGTGTTTTACAATCATTTTGGCCAGTCATTAGTTTTTAGCATAACAGTGCTCTCTTCTGCAGAGAAGTAGAAGAGACAGACATATGCACAATAGTTGTTTTAAAGTATTTTTTAAAATATCCAGAGGGTTTCGGAATTTTCCCTAAAGTAGGCGTTCTCTCAGGGGAAAAGAAGCAAACAAGATAAAAATGGAATAGCAAAAAACAAAGAGGAGGACAGTTCCTTATTATCAGATGAAGTCATTTAACTGCAAAACTTCTGAGTAAAAAAGAAAATATAACAATGCCATGTAACCTCTGCCCCTCAACTGCATTTTTTTGTTCAAATCTTGCATGTTTAATAACCTACAGAAAGAAGGCTCTTCTAATACTTTTTCACTTCAGCCAAAACTTTGTACGAAAGATAATGACACGAGAGCTACTGTTGGTCTCAAAAGCACAACTCTAAAGTAAAAAGACATATAACATTTTAGAAAATACAAAACAAAAAAGGCGCGCTCTCTCTCTCTCTCTCTGATCAGAACTCTCCAAATTACCTAGTGAGTAATGCTGCTACTTATGCTGAATGAAAAGGATATAAAGAAAATCAATTTCTAATAAAACTAGTTGATCCCACATACCTCACTTTGAAATGTCACCTTCGTGGTAGTCCTTAATTATTTTGAAGAAATAACAAAAGTCAGATGAAATTCCATCCCACTCTGCCCAACAAAATATTCCAACGACATTTAATTGAATATGTCTCATGGTCTTAGGACTAACAGAGTTGTCATGCAAAATGCTTGTACACCCATATATAGTAGTCTAAATAATAACACTGTCACTTAGATTTGAACAGTATAAGCATGCAAGCATAATGATTGTGATATTCTTTTTACCTCTAAATTTTTTCTTTTACTGTTTTATTTTTTTGGGGGGGAGGGGAAGAAGAGAGGAAGAAAGCAGAAGTAAATGAGAGAAAAAAGGACCTGTAAGCAGTTTATACTGAATCACAAAATCAGATGCCCTCAGGAAAATTGACAGGACATTACTCCAAACTTAGAAGTCACTATTCATTCTACTTTTTATTTATTCCCATCCATTTGTTGGAAATGCTTCCAATCTCTTCTCTGAGCAATGGATTCAGGTCACCTTAAAATGCAATTCATCTAGGGGGTAAAGCTACCACCAGGCAAACCTGAAAGCTGTAGCTACCACGGTAATGGATATGACAGAGAAACAAACACAATAGGAAAAAGTGTGTCTGGAACACTATTTTGGTACATTTAAATGAATTTTGTTTTTAAAACTAAGGCAGCTCTCCAAATTTAAGGGAGGGGGAGAGGAGGAGGGAGCTAATTTTTTCCCAAACCAAATGAGGGAATATATATGTAATATATGTATATTTAGAAAACTCAGAAGAAATAAAAGAATGAGCCATCTGAGTCCTCAAAAGTCATTTAAATTATACTATTTTATATTCTGCTTACAGGAAAAAGAATTGAAATTTGGATAAAGTATCATCATAAAAAATCATAGAGTGAAAAAAATGCTAAGAATGGTTCTTGCTCTGATAGAAAGACGTAAACTCATGGAACAAAACATTAGTATGTTTTACTTTAGATTAGTAAACTCCTTGAGGTTACGGACTCATATTTCTTCTGTATCTACCCACAGTGCTTAGTATAATGCTCTATTATGTGAAGATTCAATAAATAACATAGAATTACTGACCTTTGGTGCTTAACATTAATCACATATTGACTACTGAAGCATAACCTTTGGTTGTGATGCCTTAATAGTAAAAAGAGATAGGTGATAGTCTCTACAAACTGATATCCAAATACCAACACACAGTTAAAAATTGTCTACCAACTATTCTAAGGGCTTGTCAATTGTGAAGTACTGTTCTTATATCACCAACATCAACTACACCACAAAATACATTTAGAGAGAATGAAGAAGAGAAGGAATACATGTAGACTAAGCGGTAGAACTTCCGGAGGGTTTTATGTTTTCGTGTGTGTGTGTGTGTGTATGTGTGTGTGTGTGTGTGTGTGTGTGTGTGTGTGTGTGTGGTGTGTGTGTGTGTGTTTACTTATGTATGTTTTCTTGGATTCTTAAAAATTAAAGTTCTTTATAAGCAAATTTCCTGTTTTCTTATCAGGTAGGAAGCAAAGAAGGGGAGAACCATAAAGCGCAGGAGGCAAATGTGAACACATGTACCACAACAGAAGGAAGATGAAGATGAGATGAACTCCAGGATTAGAGCAACACCTATCAGACACATCTAGACACATATTGCTAAAGGTTCTTTCCAGGAGTCTCTAAAGCCACCATACATCCCACTTTGGCATTTCTGCCAGATATCTCTGCCACAAACACTGGCTTAGAAGATATAAGGCAATATTTCCTGGCTATAATCTAAACCTTTCTAAGGTTATTATAAAACAAAAGATCTATCATGGGTAATGATTTCTCCAATGTCCACCACTTTTCTCTTGACCTCGATCCTTTTTATTTCCTTCATCATGCAACTCCTGCAAAAGTTTAAGGTGCTAAAATTCTCAAGAAGGGGAAATTCCTTCCATTGAAATTTTGCTGTTTCCCTCCTTTCCTATTCACCACCCTTTTCTCCTTCTAGTTGTGGACCAACCACTACTAAGACATAAAGTTTGCACAGATAAAGCAGTTAGTGCTTTCTGACCTCAATAAAACTAATTAACAGATGGGAACAATAAATTCAGATGAAGCAAAAGACAGAAACAAATATTTAAAAAAATATGTGAGCCACCATTTTCTTCTAACTTCCCAACATGGAGTGTTCTCTACAGAAAATCCCAGCTTGGAAAGGAGAAAATCTGTGGTAGCCATAACTGAAGACCAAAAATAGCTCCCACCACCTTAAGTCATTTCCCTCTACTAGGCTATATACAAGAAGTACTTAGAACAAATACCAATTAAGGATGATTAAAGAACCAATTGGTGGCCCTAAAAAGTCACTAATTACAAATCCTCTAACCTGAACAAGGCCCTGGTTTTGTTAGTAATTGAAGCTGTCAGTGCAGAATGAAGCCTGCCTGACGTCAATTAATTCATCACTCAATTCTCATTTTCTCTCTCCGTCACTCAATTCTAATCTCTCTCTCTCTCTCTCACACACACACACACACACACACACACACACACAAATGTAAGAAAATGTAAGTGTGGAATGGAGCATAATTTATCATCATTAAAGGTGGGGAAAGTATCTTTGAGAACTGCATTGCTGGTTATCTCATTCCCACTGCTCTGAAACTTTTTTCATACTTAATATTTCATGGATGTCAATGTTTCTGTGACTGTGGTACCCTTTTAAAATTTAGTCACACATACATTTTCCCGTTTCCTTTTATTGGGCAAAAGGGAGCATTTCATGAAGGGCTCAGTAATTTTTTATAAGAGGAGCCAGTTCCCTCTGATCCTGACTGAAGGGAACACATGTAAAGGACAATTGTGGTAGAGCTCTCTTTACCTGGTGTCTCACCAGGCCACCTTCCTCTTAAAATTTCTGGTTAAATCAATGGGTTCTGACTGCAAATTGTTAATCTCTAAAGTGGGCTTAATAATGCCCACTGATTTAAATAATTAAAAAGAAAATGAACAGTTAATTCTTTTGTTTTAAAGCAGAAAATTATTGGTTAGTTCCTAATTCCTATGAAATTTTCTTGCCTTTAATTTGTCTCATATATTTTATGGGGAAGTTTTGAACACCACTGCAGTTTTTCTAAAGGGATTATACAGATGAACCAACTTTAAACAGAGTTAACTGGTTGTGGAGGTGGGGAAAAGGAAGGTACTCCTGGCTTTTTTTTTCCCCTTAAAAAAAATAGAAAAAGAAAAACATTTCTTGATACTTGAGTTTTGTGTATGACATTTTTTTTTTCTCCTAACGATGACTGACTACTGGGAGAAGCAGCACCAAAATATTTAACAAAGTAAGAGATAATTTTCTAATAGAAGCATTCCTTCATCCCTCCTGCACACTGCTCAGGAAAACAGACTGATAAAAATCTGAATAGACAATAATATTCCCTATGTTCCCACCTCCTTTCAACATACTTGACATAGCTGAAACTGCCAAGTGTGCAAGTTTAGAAGGCATCTTCCTAAGAAACATATAGATTCATTATATTGAAGCACTTCGTTTGCTTCTCTTCTTCAGAGAGCACTGCTATTTATTTACTTCTTTTTAACCACAAAACGAATTCAGACAGACAGGGTGACTAAACCCCAGGAGAAGGTGGATACCAGTGAGCAACCTCATTATTTGGGAAGGTAGTTTCCATTACCTTGAATTGACCCCAAAGATTTTGGCGTTTTAGATAAAGTAAATATTTTCCACCCGTAATGATAGTCTGTAAAAGAAAACTGGGATTTCGGCAAAATTTAAATAAAAAGATTAAGATTATAAAACTGCATCCAGCCATGCTGAGAATATCACATCTTCTATTAGTTATGGGGAGAGCAGTTCTGAGAAAGCTTTGCTCTACTTTCTTTCACATCAAATGAACCACATAGTTCTGTCTAGAAGACTTAGTTATAATGGAACTTTACCACTACTGCAGGGAAGACAGCACAGAGGCTTAGTTCTGATTAACATTCACTCCAAATACTGAAACCTGGATACTATTGTTATGATTTAGTCCATCAGCTTTTCGCTAGCCTTCCAACCAAAGGACTTTCTAACAGTACTAAGGCAAATACATGTTCTAATACAGGAAGCTATCATAATTTCCCCTAATATGACATTAACAGTTATAGCTATGGATTAACTCCATGGTGTGATTAATGCATGCATCATGCATATAAAACTAAAAACAAAAGGGGGGGGCCATTCCCTCAACTTCTGTCCAAGATGTATATGCAGGTTTAGTTTAAAAACAGATGGTACATGTCTGAACAAAGCAAGAAACATTGTGGGGTCAAAACCAAACCAGTTAAAAATAATACTAATGTCAATACCTTCTCTTTTGCCTTTCTATGAAAAAAGACATTTATGAAATAACAAATTGGTCAATTCCTGTTGTTCTACCCCCTGGTCCCTACCCCAACAGCCTGCTCTCAACCTCCTACATAAATAAGAACTCATTCTAAATACAATTATTTTTCTTTAAAAGAATTGTTTGTTGGGTACCATGCTACTTTAATGCTGTCACTATGTTAACCTGGGTCAGTCTTCTTGTGATGGTCAAGGCTGCTTCCTTAAGAACATCAATGTCAAACTCTGAGAGGCAGCATTAAGGCATTGGAGAAATAAGGAACCTTCTTCTTATGGAGCAGACATTTGTGATACATTCCTTGAGATACTGAACTGCAATCTCTTCCCCAGCCTCCTGAAGAAAAGACTGGGGAAAAACAGGAGGTGCTGAAAAAAAAAAAAAAAATAGAATTCCCAGCAGTCATACAATCAATTGTCTGTATTTGTTTATGTGGGTTTTTTGTTTTGTTTTGTTTTGTTTTTTTAAACTAAAAGGTATGGAAGAGAAAAACAAAAGTAAAGGCTGAGCTGAATTCCAGGTACAGGTACAGGTCGATGGAAGCTTTTCCCAATCTGTTTGGCACCTCGAGATCTGACGAGCGGTGGAGCTGTCTTTCCTATCTCACGTTAGGTAAGTGGCTGTTTAGGCAGTTACACTTCGTTCTACCACTCCTTTTGATACGCCTTCTGCTCCACCTGTATTCCAGCTCCTTTCCCAGGTACTTCATTCACCGGTTCCTTGCCCTTGTGGGGCTGTAGATGTTATCACCCCTGCCTGTGCGACAACAGTTCCACTGGGTTCCTCCAGCCGAGGTCTTTTGACATCTGGCTCCCCTGAGGAGGCTGCCGGGTCTTCTGGGCCCACTTCACACACCCGAGTAACCACTACAGGAGTGGAGGAGCTAGCCTGGGCTGCGAGAAGTTGCAGTGGGTTTGTAAGGGCTGGGAATTGAAGAGACATAGATTTAATATGTAAAATTAAGACCAACACTTGTTCTTCTGAACAAAGGTCAAAACCAAACCACTTATTTGGTAAGTGAGTAAATGACAGAGAAAAGAAGCTTACCACTACACTCAAAAATTATAACGGCAAAATCTACAACATACTTAACTTGAGGATAAATGATAGCGGTACTGAGCGAAACAGTCCACATTTTGTATTTACCACAGCAAAGATCACACAGCAGGAGAAGTGAGAAAAATCTAGGTGATAAAGTGGAAGAAGAAAACGAATGCAAAGACTACTAAAATCTTACCATAAGAAGTGCCAGTGATGCTGTTGGAAGGAACAGCATGCTTTCCATTTTGTGTCACTGCCCTAACTGGGAGCTGGTGTTGCCCAATGGTCACTGGTGTTGCTGGCTGAAGTATTGTAACTGTTTGTCCTGGAACTCCCTGAGCCATCTGACTGGCAACCGTCTGGATGACTCGGCTGGCAGTTGGAATTGTCGCGAATGCAATCGTAGGCTTATCTTCCAATGCTAACAAAAGTTAAAGAACACAGTATTACAGACAAACTAACAGAGGCATTTCTCTTAATTTCTACTTGACACCAACACATCAGAACTGATAAAAAAGGAATAATATAATTCAAATTCAGTAATACAAACCCTATGGACTATATATAACAACACTGTAGATAAGAGTTTCAAGGCACTCAATCACTTAATACACTATTTGATTAAGGAATGTTGACTGAAAATGGGAAAAGATTTAGAATCCTTTTTAAGCAGAAATTTTTTAAACTTCAAGTGCACTGTCAGAAGGCCATGACATTCATTAAATGAAAAGGTCAAGAATCCCCTATTATTTCCCAATAAATTGAATGAGATATTTCCTATAGAGCACATAAGTTAGTCTTAAACAAATTTACATCACTTTTTAAAAAACATTAAATAGCTGCCTGATGATTTTTATGTCTAAACAGTACCACTTTCTCCAAACAAATGATAAAACTAACACCACAATGTTTCTTCATCTGATTAACATAATCACTCAAATTTCAAATATCCATAATTTGATTTTAAAAACATAATATCAACAATGTTTCTATTTGCCTGAAGTGTTACAAAAGCAGTTACTCACAAAAATGCAATTCTCCTATTGATAGTGCCACAAAAATACTGTGAAGAGATAAAACAAAGCGATCAAAAGATAACAACTAAGAGATATTACTTATTTTAAAAGAGATGAGTCAATTTTTTCTTTTCTTTTTTTTTTTTGTGTAGTGACTTAAATTTTATAAGATATCCCAATAAGCTCATGAAAGTCAGAATTTCTAGTTCGGAAATGAAATATTCATTTTAAATTACTTCTACTGACTCTTCACTAGAGGTCCTATTGCTATAACTACTAACTCATTTCCATAGGCTGATTCTTTTTATGTTAAAAAAATTTATATTTCAATTTCAAAAAAGATCCAGGCACTTAGTGAATGTAATCTTGAAGAAAAACTACCAAGTATTCAAAGAAACCTGTTTTGTGACCTATTAAATAAACAGCAGAATTTATAATTAAAAAAAAGTACAATTCATGCAAACATAGTTCATGGGTTGAAGAAATGGTTTTAAAAAATCATCTTCATGTTATTTGCTACTATACTTCTGCCACAACTCATCCATGTTTCCACTACTGTGCTCTTTGATGTTTCAGAAACCAAGTTCTAATTCAGTTTATATTTTACAAAGGCCAAAGTTGTCTACATCAAGATCTAATGAAATTACCAAATGGACAGGTTACCTCTTGGTTCACTGCCCAAATCCAAAACTGTGCCTGCTGCTTCGTGGCTATTTCCTGCCGTGCCCTGACTGGTAAGGATGTATCCATTAGCTGAATTAGCAGATGTGGTCACAACTCTGACCATTGTAACAGTGGGAGCTTGCTGCACAACATGAATTGCATGACCAGAAGGCTGCTGTGAAGTCACTATTGAAGCTGGCATGTAAGCAACTGGTTTGGCCACGAGATTAGATGGTCGAGGAGGAACAGCCATTATTACGGGCTGAGCACTAACAGGAGAACCTAAAGAATACAAAAAGTGAGAAAGATAATAAAGTTTGTATATTACATGGTATTTTAAAAAATTCTCTTGACATCAGCTCTGGTTCAAGAGTATTGAATTTTTAAAAAAAAATAGAATACATAAAAAAATGAAACAAAACACTTCTCTGCAAAACAGGTAACTCTTACCAGGTGCACTTTGTGAATACCGATACTCTGGAACAGAGGCTAATTTTGACCCAAAATCATGGTCATGTGGAATGGGCGAACCCTCCCGAGACAGGCACTCTGGAGTCTGTAGGCCACTAGAATGAGGGGACATTAGCCCCGGATGAGTAGGGGAAGCAGGAGCACTCCTTTAAAAAACAAGAGAAGCATCATGTTATGTCAGTAAAAGTCCAAAGGGTTTAGATATAAGGGCGGCAATAAATTAAAAAACAAACCGAACACAAAACTCCAACATCTATATCCTACACTCCACTCCTTTACCAAACCTTTCTTGTGCTCCTCTTAACCCCTAATATATTTGCAACACAACCATTCTTGGCAGGAACGGCTTGCCAACTGACAACATAAAACCACAGTTTTAAAGCTCCATTAAGTGAGAGGAGAGTGCTTTGTTTGTGGCTTTGTAATAAAAGTTACAATTAAGAGCATCTACTCCCTGACTGAAAAGACTAGCCAGCCTTCCATGAACATGCCTTAGCATTCTGCAGTTACGAACCACACTTCTAGCTGGCCCCTATTTCACATGCAAAAATTCACAGTTGAGAAAAGTAAAATAAACACCAGATAGTACGACTTGTTTTACATACATAACAAATATAAATGAACAAATGAGAGTTCATTCATCTTCATTAATCAACGCTCTGTAAAACCTTCCATACTCAGTAGGTTATTGCTGGCATGTAATTTCTGTTCTTGTGCCTTCCTCTATTCCTACACAGTTTAGATTACTTGATCAATCTTCTAACCAACTTTCCAGTTTCCAGTTTTGTCAATTTAACTTCATATTACATCCAGACTTGTCTTTCTAAAATTTTGCAAGCTCCTACCCACACTAACATAGCCAACAAATCTTTGTTTTGGCTGCTAATGGGATTCTCAATGACAAATTATGACAAGTAAGTAAGATGTTATAATTTGAATTTATAACTTAATACTAGAGACTAAATTTTAAACTACAAAAGTAATTTTCTGTTTGAAGTTACAAATTTCAAAATATAAAACTATTTTCATCAAAATCAGTGCCATTTTTATTGCTTTTAATGTATACTTTCATATATCATCTAAGCTGACAAGTATATTTTAAAGGGTTATGGATCATCATGCTCAAGTAACATCAATCAATTTACCTTTTAAACATTACAAAAATTCATTAGTTTCTGAAACATATTCTTAAAACATCTGGGTGCTTTTGAGAGCAAAAAATAACAAGATTTTTCTATTTAAAGTGAAATTTCCTTTTCTTAATAGCTTCAGAACAAGGAAACCAAAAGGTGAGACAGAGTGATATTTACCTTGATGACAAGGGCCCAAAAGGGGTTCGGAAACAGGACACTCCTCTCTGTCTCCGTTTCCGGAATGCCTGTTCTACTAGCTTGGCTTCTGATGCTGGGTCAATGCGCCAAAAGGAGCCCTTTCCAGGCTCCTCCTGAGAACGTGGGACTTTAATAAAGTAACGGTTCAAGGAGAGGTTGTGTCGAATAGAATTCTGCAGGGAGAGAAAAGACAGATTCATCAATTATTGACCAACCTGGAAACTCACATGGTACCAAGAGATTGCAGGAATATTGCTATAAACAGAGAGTCACAACATATGGAAAATAATCTGAACACTGAACTAAATAACTACAGAAAAACAACCATGAAAAATGTATTAAATTGGCGGCAGACAAAGTGTGTTTTCTTTTATCACTGCTGGGGGCAAAGCAAAAAGAACTTGCAAAGAACACTATCATTTTTCTGCTGTATTTTATGACACGGAACAGTTATTCCCCATTATGCAGACAGCAAAAAAAATTAAATATCACAGTGGCTATCTATAGTTCAAGAGCAAGTCAGTTGACAGAGCTATCTAGCTCCAACCTATTTTTCCAGCCTTACCTCCCATGACTCCCCTTTGCACACCTTATGCTCAACTTTAACTGAACTCCTAGGAAATCTTGGCCAAATCATTTCAACTTGATGGGCCATAGTGTCTTCATCTAATGGAAAGAGGTCTAGATCTGAAGTCAGCAGAGACTTGGATCCAAATCCTGCTTCCCATACTTACTAGAAGTTATGGATGCATGAAGTCACTTAATGTCACTAATCCTCAGCTTCCACATTAATAATAACTGTAAGCACCTACCTGCAGGTTTGATGGGAAGAGATACACACACACATATACATAATGTATGACATATCTCACTTCCTTAAGGCTTTCTTCTAATCTCTTTAGCCATTTTTTGATACCATAGCCCTTCATATACATTTCTCTTGTGGCACTTTTTAAAAAGCTTATATTAGGATCATTTGTGAACTTGTCACTTCCCCTTGAGGTCAAAGACCTGACCGGGGAAAAATTAATTTATACTCATTTTTAGACCTTGGCAGTGCTCAGCACATTGCCTTGTACTATGTAAGTACTTAAAATACGTGTATTCAATTATTCAAGTTTATTCAATCTGTTCAAACTGAGAAAGCTAAAATAAACACAAATGTTCAGAACTATAAGGCACATCTATAAAAGTATGAACAGATCAATATACAGACACTGGAAAGGCTAGAGGGAAAAGTCTCTATAAAGAAAATGGACAAAGATCATACTAGACTTCATAACAAAATGTCCTTCACACTTTAGGAAATGCTTTTTAGGAGCCCCCAAAGAGCTGGCCTTCTGATTACAGTTCTTCCCTTCTGACCTTCATGGAGAATTTTCTGAAGAATTTCAGAGAAATGGCAGAATTGTCCAACTCACCTGCCAGCCCTTGTCAGCAGTCCTGTAGTAAGGGTAATGCTTGGTGATATGGGCATAGATGCCACTTAGTGTTAACTGTCTGTCCTGGGCTGAGGATATAGCCTGAACTATGAGCTGAGCATAAGAATATGGTGGTTTTGATTCATCCTGAGGAGAAAAAGAGAACACAAGGGGAGGTCTGAGAGATAACAAAATTCACATGTCACCAATAGAAAGAGCAGGAATTATCTCAACTTCTTAAATTAGGTTCCAAATAACTGGTGTTTTGAGATTACAGAAAACTGAAAGGTACCTACAGTTTAAATTATCTCTGTTTCTTTCCAAATCTGCTTCACACTCACATACTTTCATCTAAGTAAGAGTGATCATTCCTGCTTCAGGTGGAGACTGGAAGTTACCACAAACACATGATTTTGAACTTCTTTTTTTTACTTCCTCCACAAAGAGATACAGAACTGCATTACACAGTAGAAGAAAATGACGTCCATAAAGACAAATTAGGGTATGGTGATTTTACATGGGGATAGACTGCAATTCTGCTCAAAATTTCTAATACAGACTCTTTGAAACAGCTCTGCCAGTAACAAGTATAGAAGGGTTGTTAACCTTTTTAGTATCATAGACTCCTCTGACACTCTTGTGACGCCTACGAACCTTCTCAGAATAAGGTTTATAAATGCATAAAATACAAAGAATTACAAACGGAACCACTTATATTGAAATACAGTTGTAAAAATACTTTAAAAAGCAAATTAACTTACCCCAGGTTAAGAACTCCTGAAACCAAATATTCATGTATATCTGACATCAAAGGACATTACCTAATAATATACCTAAGTATACTATTCTATACTTCATATGAAGGCAATGCCAATTGTGGCTATTTCTATAACCAGAAATAGCTTATTTATATGGCACACTGTGAGAACATTCTCAGGAAATATCATTATATCTCAACAAACCTTTGGGCTGTCTCCTCCAGATGTGTCTGCCTGCTGCTCTGATGCTGCCTTTGCTGCAAATTCTGCAGCCAGCTGCAAGTCTGAGGTGACATTCTGAACAAAGCGATATCCTGAGGATCCAGCACCACGAGGACTGGCTGGGCAGGAGTTGGGAACACTAGAGAAAGAAAAAGACACAACATAATTTTGCTGCCATTAAAAAAGGTGGGTTTTTTGGAAGTGGTTCCTGAATAATAAATAGGGGGCAATAAATAAAATTAATAGCAGAAAGCCTTTTATTCTATATATTTTATTAAGCTTTACAGCCCCTTTTAATGCTATAAAGTATAAACTAAAGTACAAGGAAATCACAATGTATAGATGGCTGAACTGATAATATTTCAGCAACTATCTCCCCTCCTGGATAGAAGTTTCATCATCTGAGAGACTGATACTGCCATAAGATGGTGAAAATTCCATACAAAAACACATGGGAATAGATGCCCACACTCATTCTTCTGTACCATATTTTTATATATCCTCATCTGATCATCTGTTTCCTTGTTGGTTTTGCCTAAAGGAACCTGAAGTATGAAGATGCTATAGTACCTTCTCTCATGCTTAAGGAAAACACAGAATTCCAGGGCCCTCAGAAATCATATAATGCACCAAGGCCCTCCTACATCATTACCACGTGGCCAACCAATCTTCAGTGATGCAAAATTCCTTCCCTTGCAAGACAGTCTATTCCATTTTCATGCAGATCTAATTGGATAGAAGTTCCTTCCTTATATTGAGCAAAAACATTTGCTTCCCAATAACTTCTACCCACTGGTCTTGGTTCTGCCCTCTTCAAGTCATACAGAATAAGTCTTAATCTTTAATCCTTCTTCTACCAGACAAACTTTCAGATACTTGATGACTTATAATCACTCTCTCCTATGTCTTCCCCTTTCAAGGCTAAACCTAAGTATCCTTCCTCAAATGACATGTTTGAGTTTTTATTACCATGATCCTACTCGAAGTCTCTTCTAAGATATAGCATCCAGTGTTGAGTACCCTGTTATTATTAACTACCCCTTTTAAAGTCCTATTTGAATACTCCTTAGAATTTTACATCAATAATTTCCCGAAACAATGTTCTTCTCCCCATTAAACCATCTGCTTTGTAAAAAGGAAAAACATTTAAGCCAAATTTACTGACAAAATGACTATATCTGACAAAAGTCTGCTCCTAAAGTCCCCCATCTCTTTATTAACTGTGTTTCATTAACTGTTCTTCAGGACCTTCTATCCAGGTCACTTCAATTAGCCTCATTTCAGCTGTCTTTTAGTGTTGTTTTTTGCTTATATTATTGTAACTACTACGTAGACTGTCCTCCTGGTTCCACTGATTTCACTCTGTATCAGTTCATACAAGTCTTCTCACACATTTCTGTAAATTCCTCACATTCATAATTTCTCACAGCACAGTAATGTTCCATTATATTCATATGCTAAAATTTATTTAACCATTCCCCACTTGATGGTGACTCACTTGTTTCCAGTTTTTTTTAGTACCTCAAAAAGTGCTTCTATTAATATTCTGTCATATATGGGGCTTTTCAGTTCTTGACCTCCATGGTGGAGGTATAAGTCAAAGTATATAAAAAGTTTAGTGACTTCTTGCACATAATTCAAAATCACCACCCCTTTTTTCTAGGCACTATAATTTAATTAATGCAGCCTAAGAGCATCCACATCAAACTGCTGGCTCATATTGAGCTTGCCATATAATCTTGACTTTGTTCTAAAATGGGTCCCTTAATATGGGCAATATAATAACATAAGAAAAATGGGTTGATAGATGAAGGACCTTAAGTTCCACATTAACATTTTTTGTTGAGGAAGATATTTCGTTTTAGTGATCCACAAGATGGCACTATAAGAAGAGGAAAGCTAAAAGGACTATGCATGTAAAATGACAAATACTAAGGAACTTAACATTTGTTACACCAACCAGAAGTACTGTACACATGGTGGATTCAAATAAATCAGCAAAACCCGTCTGTGGTGATAATACACCCTGACTTTATAGAGACAAAGTTACATAAGAAGAAGTTGATGCAACTGTCCTAACTTTAGTTAGTTTTCCTCTGTGGAGCCTAACAATTCAGGAGCTCCCATATTTCAACATACTTCAAAAACATTTTATCCCTTTTAGTCTCTCTCCTCCTCACAATGCAACAGGATTTTCAGATTCATAAGATGCTAGAACCAGAAGAGACTCAACCCTAACAGGTGTTTGATCAATCAACCCCAAGGATGGGATGATGGGTCTCATCCCACTTTTCCTTGTGACAGCCAATCATGGGGCTTGTTTGCAACGCATACACCCAACCAACACTCTGCCCCTCCTCCTTTCCCCCATTTTATGGCTGCAACAGGCCCTGCGCCTCTGATCTCAAGGGCAATGACCAATAAGAACCTTCCTCCTCTTACCCCTTTTTATTTTGATGAGGCAGAATGAGTTGCACAGGATTAGCAGACATGGATAGGATGCAATTTACGTCAAAATATCTTTCCATGAAAACACACACCTTTTCTCTATTTCTTTCAGTGTACCATCACCATCTAGTCACGCAGGGTCTTACCCTCCACTCCTCTAATTCTCCCTCAATCCATACACCAAATTAGTTGTGAAATCTTGTTGTTTCTTACTCTGCAACATCCTCTCTCTCCACTCACATAGTCATCACCCTACATCAGGCCTATATATCATCTCTCACCTGGACAAATGCAATGGCTTCCTTCTAGCCGGTTTTCTTCAAGTCTTTTTCCAATCCCATATATCCACCAAACAGTTGCCAAAGTGATTTTCCTTAAGCCCAGGTCTTATCAATATATCCCCAACTCCCAACTTAATAAACTACAGTGGGATTTCCTATTACTTATAGGATCAAATAAAAACTCCTGCTTAGCATTTAAAGCCTTTCACAATCTTATCCCAACTTAACTTTCCAGTCTTGTTATATCCCCTTTTTGTATTCTGCAGTTCAATCAAACTGGTCTTTTTGCTGTTCCCCACAATCACACAAAAATACCAGTAAATATCCAAATATGACTGCGAAATAAGGTAGTATACCACTCATTAAATGTAACCACATAAAGAAAGAGGAATAACAGATTTATATTAAAAAACTTTCTGTTGAGTTGAAACTAGATAATTCACTTTTGTTTGTTGTTTCTGTATTATGTATGGTAAATATTGATACACAGAGAAATACTGAAAAGCTGATATGCTGACTGAGGATTATGACCCCTTATTTGTTTGTGTTGAGTATCTTTCAACAAAAAGGTATCTTAAAGGAAATTCACCTTTATCTAATTATCTTGATCAAAATGATTAAATAATTGCTATTATACAATTAAAGTCTGCCCTATCCCCTAGGTCACAGACAGGGATTTGGAAAATACTGAAAGTATATTCAACCACACTGCTCTCAAGACCAAAACATTTTTTTGTACTATTGACAAATAAAATTAAAAAATTCAAAATACTGTTTATTTCATCTATCTCAACATTTAAACATTTTTCATGTTATATATAATTTATTATTACAATAGTATATCATTTATAAATAAATGAATACACATGTTGGGAGTTTATGTTCAAATTGTTTTTTAGTGATGGAGTGAAAGATCAAAGAAGATTAGAGACAATGGATATAGTCTATTCTTTTCTTTCTACTCTTTCACCCTCATTCCTCATTTACAGAAGAGTCTAAGACCTAGAGAAAAGAGGTAACTAGCCCAGTGTTACAGAACTAGTCAGTGCCAAAGCCAGAAGCAGAACCTAGGCTCAGTGTTCCTTCTGTTGCATCATTATGACAATTAGGAACAAACTAACATGTACGATGAAGAGATACTTAGGATGAAGAGATTTCTTAGATTGCTCCAATTCTGAGAGCGTACCCCATTCTTTAATAATAGGTTAATAACAAAAGTATGAAATTATAGAAAACATCTATTTTGATTACATGCTCTTGTTTTGTTTCCTCTATAATACAAATCCCTGCAGGGAGTTATCTCCAACTCCAAGTAATTGCTCTATGAATATTTAATCTTTTATTCTAATTATAGGTTTATTTTCTGTAATTGGGATAGACATCGGTTACTGACTTAGTGTGTTTAGATTTTGAAATTTATTTTGACTATAAAATATTCTAAAAATAACATACAATTAACACTCAACATAAATTGGGAAAATCTAGGCTGAGTGGGATTGGGAATCAGGCAGTACAGAGCAGAAGCTTACCTGAGAAAACCTAAGGAGGGGAAAGCATGAAGACACTTAAAAAAAAAATCCAGTGTAGTTATGAAGCCTTATAAAAAGGAGCATACTTTGTCCTGTCTTAGATAATGATAATTTACTGGACATAAGCAACAAGGCCCATGCTGCCTCTTTCAAGATAGTCTTTTTATAAAAGATCATGGTGGATTTATGTCTTATCTCAGGAAGGCAAAACTCAAAGAAAAGCTCATAGCTCCCTACAGTATGATTTCAGATAGAAAGAAAAACCAAAGCTCAGCAAAATGTGACTCAGGAAAAGGAAAAGAGGAAACAGCATTCTCTTTACAACTTTTTACGGTACTAAATACTGAGTCTGATTTGTGCCGACAAATTCATTTGGGAATAAAATCAGACTACACTGTAGTTTAAAGCTAAGGACATAATATAATATTGCAGTTTATTGACTTCCTGGAATTCTAAGAGTTTTTCCAATAGTGATTGGTTAAGGGAGAATGTCTATTTGCTTACACAGCTTTTTTGGTCTTCAAAGGTTAGTGCCTCAATATTTTCCATTCAGTTACACTCCAGAAAGTTGAGGACAGACAAGAGAATTGTAATTGACTACCAAGTTTAATTAGCTAACCCTTATATTAAATCACCCAAATAGGGAAAAATTTTTTTTAAAAAGACAACACATATCTTCAGAACAAATTTGGGTGTAATAAATTCTTGTTGGTCTAAAAAAAAGTCATCCAAGTGTTTCCAGGCAGAGGATGCTGTCCTGGTTATAAAAATGGCATGATTTTTATCCTTTGGAACACAGAGGAACCACAGGCAGTAGTTTTGAAAAACTGACTGAGAAGTCTGAAGTATCTGATGTTGGAGTTTTATTCTAGCACAGTTAA